AGTATTAAGTTATACGAATGGCATCAAGTAGTTGAGATTTATTTGATGTGTTATTTATTTTTGGAATTTCTATTGTTTATAATAAGATCATCTGTGAGTGATCTTGTTGCCAAAATTACAAGGGATGATGATTATTATTAAAAAAATAAAATAAAATTATATTTCTCCTGTAAAAGATCACATAGGTCTTTCTTTCATTAATAAGAGAGCATTACATTTATCTACCCAAAAGAGAGAGAGCATTACCTTTTATTGTAGAAATGCTATGAACTCAAGCTTTTTGTACCTCTGTTTTACCAGTGTGATTCCCTCACCTGGTTTTGTACACTTTACCAACAAAAAGGTTGATGCTCGTTTTTCTATTTTTCCCTTTCTGTCCCCAAGGAAATATTCACAAATGCATCTTATTTTTCATCAGTTTGCTCTTTCTTTTTGTAGCGGCTCTTTTTTATTATGCACTGCTTTTATAGACTTCCACACAAGTTTGTCTATACCAATTTATTCATGCTTCATAAGATGTATCACACGGCTAAATATAAAATGTCTTCTTTCATATTTTATTGAATCACACATGGACTACTGACCAACATCTCTTTTTTGGTTCCAAGGATGTTAATTTGCATTGTTCACATTTTGTTCTCTTGCAAATAATCACATGCCGATTACTGACGAAATCTCTTTTTGGTGACAAGGACGTTAATTTGTATTGTTCACAATTTCTTCCCTTGCTAATTCATCATCTGAACTGACAGAGATATGCGGATACAACTTGGAACATTGTTGGCAGATATTGGGTTCATAAATCTACCTAATGTATGCCCCTGGCATATGTTTCTACTCACTGGTCCTGCACTTACGAGTTGGTCTTGTGTTATTCTAATGTTTTTTTATTTGTGGCTTTTAATTTTTATCTTGTGACTTTATTGGGGTTTATGATGCCTTTCGTGATGTCTATGTTAGTCATATCTGTCTTCTCGGTTTCTCCTTTTTTATGTTTAGTATGTTGGTCATATGTAGTATGATGAAACAGGTTGATGGAAAATCGAAGGACAAGCTTGACAGCTGGTTTGAGTTTGATGATATAAATCTCCCATTCAATATGTACTCCAAGCATTCTGCAATTATTCTGGTATGGTTGACACTTCCCCAATGGATCAAGTTTATTTACAAGGATAGATAAATTTTGTATGTGTATGTGCATTTATTTGTCTATGGTTCCTTCACATTAATATCTACTTTTGTGCATATTTGCATATTCTTGCATACATTCATGCACCTGCGCAAAAAACAGACAGACATACATGTTTCCCTTTGTGTAGAAGGCTCTTGCCCCATTTATTCATCCCCTCGCAGAGCTTCTAAACAAAAATTAAGACTCAGACAAGTCTTAAGAAAAATTTCGAATTTTTTCTGCAATCTAATAAACCAACCAAGTTGGCTCTCTGGACTATAAGATTGAAGTACAACTTTATTTAAAAATTACAGTGTTATTTATTTTGATAATTATTATGTCGCTATTTGAAAAATAAATCTTTCATTTTTTGTTTTCCCCATTATTTATTATTTATGTCCTGCTGTTCAAGTTTTTTGTTTTCATTCTGTACTGAACAATGAACATCTCTATACTTTTGGAAGATACATATATATACTTTTGGAACATCTATATATGCTTGTGTTTTCATTCTGTTCTTGAATGCAAGTAGCTGTAGAGAATATCTACTATGAGATGGTTCCCTATTGTATTGGAGCCTAAGTAATTTATGTTAGGGTGTGGTTTCTATAAGGTTGCAACCTTAAACAATCCAATTAAGGGGCACCTCCAATTTTATCATAACATGTAATTTTGCTAAAAAAATTCTTAAGATTATCTCAAAATCTATTTTCATATCTAGTTATAAAATTTTAAATTCCAAAAATGGTTAAAATCAAGTAGATCTATAAACATACGAAAATCTTGAAAATGGACGTTCTAGATAATGTATTGCAAGATGCACTATTTCTAGGACTCAAAATCTTTTTTTTTTTCATATTCATACATCTCGATGTCGATGTCGAGATGATGAATTAGAGTTTCTTTCAACATGAAAACAACCTTTTTCGATGGATTTTTGAGGTGCATCTGTAATTCTATATTTTAAGTTTGCAACATTATATTAACTTTTTCCTTTATGTTAATGTAGAGGCAATTTTACTACTACTTGATTTTGCCAATTAGTGGCATCAAAGTAAATAATCAATGATCTGCTGTTTCTCTGGAGCCATGTTGTCAAAACAACCGTCTTCAATTTTTTACAGTTCCTGCAGTCAATGTTATGTGCAGGTCTCTACCCAAATGTTGCTGCTACAAAAGAAGGGAGCAATTGGGCTCCTCAGAGTAGCAGCCAAACTCATTCAGCCACTTCTGCTATGCAGGAACCCCCACGCTGGTTTGATGGAAGAAGAGAAGTTTACATCCATCCATCTTCTATCAACAGTAGTGTGAAACAGTTCTGCTACCCTTTTTCGGTTTATCTTGAAAAGGTATTAGCTATTTTATCCTTTTAGATATGATGATGATGTTATTACATTAGGAAAGTATACAAAGAGACCATTTGCTTTAGTACTAGGAGGTCATTATCACTTTTGTATGTCAGATTTCAAATTGGGTGGTTGTAAGAGCATCATTGAGACTCAAAAGTCAACTCAAACTACGTTACACTCCCCAACCATCCAATCTGATATCTAATGACTAAGAGTAATTGTAACTTCCTTGTAACAAAGATGAATAATTTCGTAGTATACAATCCCAATACATTGTGGTATGTATTATTTCAATGGGAAATTTAATGCTTGGTAGCTTTCTTTGTCTTTTCATTTGTTATGGCATACAAGAAGGAAAACTACTTTCTTACACAAGTGGGAAAGAACAAAGAAAAAAATTCTCGTGGTTTCTAGTGATCCCCTCGTTATTTCTTGTTGCCACTTTGTGGTGCCTTTACAAGTATAGAAGGCCATAACCTTTTCCCTGCTGCATCTTTTTGGGTGGGGATTTATTGGTAACCTTAGAAGTTGCCTCTATGGAGATTGAAAGGCGACAACATCTCAGCTGAAACAGTAATACTGGGACGATCGGTACACCATGTGCTTGTATAAAGCTGGCCTCGAACATTTTAACTCGTTTCTTTTTAAGTGAACAATTTGATCATTGTTCCTCTTGCATTGTGGATATTTTTTAAGTGGAAAAAGTTTATATAAGTTGTCAACCTTATATTTCTTCATGCATCAGTAGATAGTAGATAGATTGAAGAGATTTGGATCATTGCTGTTGTATTTGATGAATTCTCTTTTAAAGGTCAAATAGATTTCTTGTTGGCAGATCCCATGGGAGCAATTGCCTCTGCATGTCTTCGTTCAGTGCGGTAAGGTAAGTTCACACAACTGAGTTAGTAGGTTTTGTTCTTGTGGTTTTCATTGCTGGTCGTTTGTTCGTGTTGTTCTCTCTCTCTCTAATTGACAATTGATTTGCCATTTTGTTTTACAAAAGTAGACTATCTACCCAAGGTAAGATTCCTCTTTTTCTTTTTAAATCCATAGTATTGACAGTATTCCTTCAAGAGATCTGTCCCTTTCACCGTCGATTATAGCATGAGATGTGCTTGCTTTATACTCCTGTTTCTTGCAGTGATCTGTTGAAGGGCAGGTAACAACAGAAGATGATGAGCATAGTGAAACTCTTTGTGGCAGCTGTGGTGGTAACTACAACGCAGATGAGTTCGGGATTGGTTGTGATGTATGTCAAAGGTGGTTCCATGGGAAATGTATGGAGATAACCCCTGCCAAGGCTGAGAATATAAAACAATACAAATGCCTTCTTGCAGTTCCAAAAAGGGAAGGCAGTAGTTGTCCTAATGGTTCGACAGTACCGCTAGAAAGAATTTCAAGCATCTTTTTTACTTTTTTAATTTTTTTTTGTAATATATGCTTGCACTGTATAAAGGTAATGGCAGATGGGTATGCTCCATGTATTACAAGGGTTCTCTTTTCCTTACTGTGACATTGCCTTTGTTCATTTCCATTGAAGTATTTACATCACCTGTTCTCTATCATGTTCATTGGCACCTAATGTGGAATCTCTCTCTTTCTAAATGGACTCCTCTCTCTCTCTCTGTATAAGTTTATGGCAGATGGGATTGCTCCATTTATTACAGGGGTTCTCTTTTCCTTACTGTGACAGATGGGCATGCTCCATGTTCATTGGCTTGGAAGCATAGAACAACATTAATTGTTGAATTGCTTCATTTCCATTGAAGTATTTATATCACCTGTTCTCATTCATGTTCATTTAATTAAATAAATAAATGAACAGATATCAAGTTTCAGGCTTCACCTGTTGCAAGTTAACACATTCTAGTATGCCAAGTGTGATCATAAACCAATGCGCAAAATCTAAGCACAAGGGAGACATCACAGGACACATATAACATGATGACAAGGAAGAATTATTCGAAATTATAAAAATACAAAGGATCAAAATAAGTCCTCCTTCCATCTATATTTTCCCTTAAAGCCACTTACCAAGGATAGACAGAAGCCCATAGAATAAGCTCTATTTGGAAACAAATTTCATTAGTCCCTATAGGGGGTAGCAGTTACTTAAGAATTCGGTAGTCACCTCAAACCAAAAACCTAGGGTTTGAAATGAAGAGTGCCATTGTCATTGGATACGGCTCTCTCTAAGAGTGCCATTAATGGACGCTGTAAGACTTCATAAGATTCATATGAGTGCATCAGCCAAAATTTGTTTTCAATTGAAAGGACATGCATTCCTCTGTAAATTCTTCATTTGGGATGGTCCTTAACTTTTCTTCTTCTTTTTTTAACATTTAACTGCAAAATGTAAAATTCATATTTGTATAGTAAGTCTTGGCGTCGATTGTGACTTTGTGTCATGCAGAGCCTAACTGCCCACGTATTTTGTTTCTTTCTATCATTAAATCAAAAAACTAGTTCAGTAGATCCTCTTATCATCATGTCAAAAGTCTAGTTTCACGTACCAATACGAAACAATAATATTTGCAGAGTCAATACAACGTAGTATGTGCTGAATTCTGCAGCAAATATATATAATGCACATTCTAGATAAGTTAGGGACAAAATTCATTGGATTCCAATGTTGTTTTTTGCGATGCCTTAAATTAACATTTTGCATGACAGCATCACATTCATCACACCCGCATAGTATACACTTATAGTACATCCTGTTCGGGTTATTTGAGCTTTGCCGATGCTTTCACAGCACAATCTATACGTGCACGTAGGGCATTGTCGAGGGTATCTATACTGCACGTAGGGAATTGTCGAGGTGTATATCCTTGAGTACTTGTAGAATGAGATGACATTGTTATCGCCTACAATAATCGCATCAAAACCACATTGTGAAGGACTCAATAAGTATGTACTTCAAACACATCATGACATATTGCAAATATGTAATTGAACAGAGTACATTGAAAATACAAAGATCATGACCAATTGTGAATGCAAAGCTAAATATGGAAATAGAAGCAAAAGAATTACACCAGTCAACAAGTAGAACCATGGAAATTTAAATACAGCAAAGAAAATCACCATAGGTCCTCATCATCACAGTCGAATCCTAATTTATAGAGCAGCTTCTGTAAGTAACATATATGCATATGTGCCAAAAAAAAATAATTATGGTTGTAAGGAGCAGGGGAAAATAACAGTGAAAATTTAACTCTGTATACAAAAGATTGTATTGATTTTCTTAACCACAACAGTTTCCATTAGAAGAGGTAGATCAAAATAATATATCCGACCACAATAACATACAAACATCATGCAAGAATCTAGCAAGGGAAAATGACATTCAAACCCTAACTCTGTATACAAAAGATTGTATCGATTTTCTTAACCACATCAATTTCCTTTAGAAAGAGGTAGATCAAAATAACATATCCAACCAAAACAACATACAAACAACATGCACGAATCCATAAGGGGAAAATATCATTCAAACGCTACCTCTGTATACAAAAGATTGTATTGGTTTTTCTTAACCACAACAGCTTCCATTAAAAGATGTAGAACAAAATAACATAAAACAAGTACAAAAGATTGTATCGGTTTTTCTGATATGATGCTCACTAGGAACTGGAAATTGGTAGCAATTCAACAATTAATGTTGTTCTATGCTCAATTCCATGTAGATGTAGTCAAGTTCTTACTTGCTAGATTGAAAACATTCAGCATAAACATCACGAAATAGTCCAATATTGTAAAACTACAGATAAATTTTAGAACCCACTCTTGGTTTTATGAATTGAATCTTGTAAACTCCTTTTTTGAATTAAATCTCCTAAACTACTTTTTAGAACAGAACCAGTTTCAGAAAACTTTCCTTGCTCCAAAACAATATCAAGTAGCTAGCAAATAAATTACAACATCTGGATAACACTTATCTCAGTATCAAAAAAAAAAATAACAACAGATCTGTATACAAAAAGAAAAGAAAAGAAAAAAAAAACATTCGATTTCATATTGAAACGAATATGGTTGTAGAAAACAGATCTGTATACAAAAAGTACAACATTCGATTTCGTATTCATAAAAACGACAAGAAAAGAAAAACAATCTGGTTGTAGAGAGAAGGGGAAAATCACATTGAAACCCTAGCTCTGTATATAAATATAAAGATCAATTCGATTTCATACAAATTTGTTCCCATCTCTTTAAATGAAATAAGGGGAAAAAAATAACAATCTGGTTGCAAAGAGAGAACGGGAAAATCACATTGAAACCCTAGCTCTGTATACAAAAACAATAGGATTTCATACGAATTTGTTCCCATCTCTTTACACGAAATACTGGAAAAAAAACAACAAGAAAAGATAAACAATCTGGTTGTCGAAAGAAAAGGGGAAAATCACATTGAAACCCTAGCTCTGTATACATTTCTCTATCAATTCGATTTTCAGTTTCTATAAAAAAAACCCTAACCAGAATAGTTCGCATAGCATAAAACAAGCTGAAGGAATTACCCATGGCATTGATAGAGAAATCTACAATGAAGTAACAATGAGTAGAAGGAAAATACCTTGAAAAATGAGGGCAAATCGAAACTCAATGGGCTGCTCGAAGTTGCTCTACGCTGATGGGAGCCCTCAGAGAGATCTCGCTGAGAGAGAGAGAGAGAGAGAGGGGAAACAGAAGGTAGAGAGAGAGGTTCGACCAGCTGAGAGAGAGAGAGAAAGAGAGAGGGAAAAATGGAGGCAGAGAGAGAAAGAGAGAGGGAAAAATGCAGGCAGAGAGAGAGAGGGGAAACAGGTTCGATCGCAGAGAGAGAGAGGTTCCTACCTGCGTGAGAGGAGAGCCCTGCGACTGACATTCCTTCTGTTTGCTCTCCATCACCATTCATTTAGATGGAAAAAACTAACGTTGGGCGCTCCTGTATCCATGCGCGAATGGGCACACAAGCATTTTGAGCAATGATCCAATGCAACGGTTCTATCGTAGATAATCCTGTTTATTGTATTTGTATGGCTCGAAATTTTACGCACATACTATTTTCATCTTCTCAATAATTGATCCTCAAAGGAACAAAGTTAAAAAATTAGTCCTTTTCAAAAATAAATCTAGACCATTCATTTTATGAATTTCAAGATCTTGACCTTTATAAACTTAAAATCATTTTTTTTCTTTTTTAACATTATTCATCTAATGATAATAAAGCCATCTAAAAAAACTGGAAATGAAAAAATCCTTCTAAGATCTAGCTCTAAGCATCTCACCAAAATGAACGGCCTATATTCATTGGGCTAAAAAATACTTTCAAAGTTGTGTTTTCAATTTTTTCTTTTCTTTGTGATTATTCATTAAAAAGAAAAGAGTGTATATTTCAAAATTTGTATCAAAGGCCATAAGATGGTTTTATAAGGTTGTTGCATCATATTATTATATAACGGTTGAATGAAATAGTTATAATGAATAGTATGTATAAGTGAAATGGGAGTCGTCAGATCTTCATCATACAGTTCAGAATGCATATCACTATTTTAATTTTAATTTTAATTTTTTATATAAATCTGATTAATATGAAATTTTGGATGTATATACCTAACACTGTTGCGCAGCACAGTGGTTTAAAAAGCGGATCGGTGACCCGAATCGGGCATCTCAAAAACCCATCCGGATCGGTAAATCGGCGATCCGGATCGGGAATCGACTAAATCGGTAGGATTAAACCTTAAAAAAAATCTGAAAAAATTATTAAAATTTATTATAAATGTTATTTTTTAGGAATTCAATAAGAAATGAGGGTACTTCATTAAGAATTTTCATTTCTTTGTATGAATATGGGAATATTGATATGTTCTTTCCCCGCATGAACTACTATTTACCATTTAATTTAACATCACACAAAAGGATAAACAATGGAATTATCAT